GACCTCGCACCGAAGCATAGACCACCGAACCATTCTCCATGGCCCATCCGGTCTTCTTGTCAGACATTGTCATTGCCGTCCTTCGCGCATGATCGCCCATCTCCTCGTTCTTGAACAAGAACCGCAAGTTCTTCACATGGCGCTTCACTCCGAACTTGTCAGGGTAGGTAATGGAAAGGACGTCCCTAATCACCTTCAGGGTCGCATTGCAAGGGATGACGATGGAGTAAGGCACCTCGCAAAACATGACAGTGATTGTCAATGTGGTAGGTTGGTCCTTCTTTGCCTCCTCCTTCTCGCGCCTCTTTTTCTCCTCCCTCTCCTGCTTACGACGCTTTGCCGCCATCTTGTCGAGAACCTTCTTTCGCTCCACCGCAATCTTGTAGTAGAACATTGCCCTGACCTTTGCCATCTGGATGAGTTGCATGATTTGCTCCTCTGTCTCTGCCTTGGCGACGAGCTCCACGAACTCGGGGTCAGTGAAGACCATGTCCTCGGTCTCTTCCACCGTCGCGGTTGGCATAGTCATAGCACCCGAAGAACCATCGGCAGAACCACCAGCGCCACCAGACGGGTCATGGTGTCCATCTCCCGAATGCTCACTTGTCTGGTCATTGTCTGACCCCTCATTCTCCTCCGTGTCGCTAGACTCACCGTCCGATGAGTTCGAAGCAACCTCTACCTCCGACAACTCTTGGTTGATGGTCGGTGGTTCTTCAACGTAACCACCCGCTGAGGATGATGAAGGCGCAACCGCTGACTTGGGCATCGCTTTTGACATCTTTGGTGCCATTGCCACTACAAGAGCACACTGGAAATCTGAATTGCTTTCAGCACTGAACGGCGCTGGACACACATATCAATCTGATTGTTGGTGAAACACTGTTTGTCTTTGCTTGTCATTTTATCAAATGATGGTATTTGCTTTACTTTCTTGACAGACTGAGCGACCCGGCAGGATGAAGAGGTTGGAGATGTCGAAGCACGGAGCGGAAAGACGACCGAATTAGGGACGCCCTTTACCGAAAACATACGCGCCACCCAACACCCCAGAACTTGATAACTACTAAAAGGGCTACCTCTTTCAAATGAAAAAATGTCGGCCCCCAGCCCAACAATGAACAAGGCGACAATTTACCCAAATGATTACCTTAACGAAAACGATAAATAAGCTCCCCGAAAACCCTCTTTTCAAAACGAATAAGGGGGAACACAGATTTGAGATGAACATAAAAACCAGAACAGGCAACCATCAACAGGCCACCCCCCGGGGCCCCCCTTTTTACCATTTTTTCCCCCACCCCCCTCCCCCCTCCTCAAGGCAGGGGGGAATCTGACGCTACCCCTAGAATTTCATGGTTGTTGTTGGGAAACATTTGACATTTTTGCTTATGGTTTACAACCACTTAACTGCCAACATTTAAATTGTTGCTCCCCTTCCAACGTCAACCAAGACTTTAACTTTTGGGAAATCACGGGGTTTTCCACTAAACCCACCAAGAGTGATTCACTTTTTGCAAAGGGGTCGTTGCAGCAACCAGGTAGGTTTTTTTTGCTTCACCGCGGAGCGCTGCGAAGGGACGGCAGCGAGATCTGCGTCTACAGCTTCCAGGGCGCCCGGCTCTACCGGACGTGCGGGTCCGGTGCTGAGACGGTGGACTTTGCGCAGGCGCACTGCGATGGAGCAGGGCCCCCTAAAAGATACATGGCCATGGGTCAAAGCCCCGTACCCCCAGTGAACATCCCAATCCCCACTGAAATAGACTAAAATGGGTGGTGCACCTACCCCAAAGTGGTACCAGTAATGTTGACCCACGGCCACATTTTGCAGCCAGTTGGAACATGTGCTTTTTCAGCGCCAAAATAAGAGGAACCCACCAGTTACAAGTTGCAATGTTCGATCGGTGTACAATGCATCCGGATCCAGACGTGGAGACGTGGACGGACGAAATCCAGTTCGCACAGCTTTGAAACCATGGGAACTGGGTGAGTTATAACGACCTCACACGACCGAATTCACCCCAAAGGATGGTTTATGTGGGGAATAGCCCCTGAAGCACCTTATTTCAGGCGAGTGAAATATCACCAGTATAGCCGGCAAAGCCGGGAGGCGGAAGTTTCTGAAACAAATGGGACTTATAGCATTTGCATTGTTGCTGGTTTCAGCGGGGGTGCCTTGCTTCTTGAACATGCCATGTCCAAAACATTCGGCCCCGCAACCTCCCAGCCACACTTATTTTCAAGCAAATGCTGCAGCGCTTCGCGGCCTGAAATGGCACGCGCTCGGAAAGAAGGCAGCTTCTCGCATCTGATGCTCGCTTTTGTGCATTCTCTGTCTTTTCGCGCATCCAAACATTCGATGCTTGCGAAACCTACTTTCGTACGTAAAAGTGGCGCGTAAAAGTTGCGATTTTCGAGCCCGAGCTGCCAGAGTCCACTTCGCGTGCTACTTTCGTACTGAAAACATAGTGATTTTCGAGCCGGAGCTGCCAGAGTGCATTTCGCGTACTACTATCGTACTTGCGATTTTCTAGCCGGAGCTGCCAGAGTACACTTCGCGTGCTACTTTCGTACTTCAAAGTTGCGATATTCGAGCCCGAGCTACCAGAGTCCACTTCGCGCACTGCTTTCGTACTCAAAAATTGCGATTTTCAAGCCGGAGCTGCCAGAGTTTCGTACTTAAAAGTTGCGATATTCGAGCCCGAGCTACCAGAGTACACTTCGCGCACTACTTTGAAATTCGTACTCAAAAATCGCGATTTTCGAGCCCGAGCTGCCAGACTACTTCGCGTACTACTTTCGTACTTAAAAGTTGCGATTTTCGAGCCGAAGCTGCCAGAGTTAGCTAGCATTGGTACCTTTCGCACATCTACAGCAGCGGTTTTTGGTGAATCCTGCCAGGCTTTTGCGCATTCTCTATCTTTTGAAGGTTGCGCGGGCAATGCTTGACCTTGCGAAAGTGCTGCGCCTGCCACGAAATCTGTACCTGACCTTGCGAAAGTGCTGCGCCTGCCACGAAATCTACGAAATCTTACTCGACCATGCGAAAATGTTGCGCCCGCAACGAAATCTGCACTTGACCTTGCGAAAGTGCTGCGCCTGCCACGAAATCTACATGCGCCACCTTGTGCGCGTGTGCCAATGGGATTTGCAAGGCGTCCGTGCCAGCGCTGCGGAAATGCAGCGCCTGCCATGAAATCTATTCTTGGCCTTGCGAAAGTGCTGCGCCTGCCACGAAATCTATACCTCGGCTCGCCAAAGTGCTGCGCCTGCTACGAAATTGTAACCTTGCGAAACCTCGGCGCGGCCGTGCCAATGGCCCCCCGTCCGAGACCGTTCCGAGCCCGTCCCGAACAGGCGTCGCGGCAGAGGTACCTTTCGCACATCCGCAGCAGCGATTTCCTGCACCCTGCCACGCTTTTGCGCATTCTCTATCTTTTCGCGCGCTCAGACAAGGTTCTTTCTAATCATCAGCTATCCTTCTATTAGTTTCCGTACCACGGAAGTTTCCGTACCACGGAAGTTTCTTCTAAACTTTCTTTGATAATTCACCCAGATGAGAAACTAGTGTTTGTTTTATACTAGGTCCCCCAGCCAGGTGCCCTTTGAACGTCTTTTTTCGGGGAGGGTTCCCCTACTAAAACAGACTACAGAAAACACTTGGTACCCTTATTCTAACCTCTCCACTGGAGGACCTAGAATATGTTCTTTATTCTCCCCTGGTCTTAAAGAGAATCTATCACTACTGGACATATCTTTATGCTGTTCCAGGGGGCTGAAGCAAATGGCAGCATACGGGACCCAAAATGGTTGTTTTCCTTGTGGCTTCCCCTTCGATCAACAAAAGGGGGTTTCCCCGCTAAGCCTTGGGTCAACCCAAGTTGGTTCCCTTGTCTACCAGGGTCACAGCAAGGTTGCCCTCCCTCTCATGAAAGCTGGCTAGAGAGTTTTGGAGGAAGGCGCCTGTCCACTTCCATGATTGTTTTGAAGAGGGCAACTTCCCTGTTGCTGGATCATTTGTTTAGGTTCGGGGGCTGCAAACAGCAAAGTTTTTTGGCCAAGCCATACCCAGGGTTGTAAAGGCAAGCAACCAGGGCTTGAATGGCCCAACTGGAAAACAATGGCGTGTTCTGCGCGGTTGGAATCGGTGCCAAATCACAGGCTGGCCCCAAATCGATAGATCTCGGACACCCAAAGGAGGTTGGTCAAGTCATGTTGGTTTCACATTTTATCCCAAGGCCCTGACCAAATACATAGATCCAGCTTGGTCAGTCGGGAGTGAGGAATGACACCTAGCATCCACTTTAAGGACATTCCATACCCGCGATTCCCTCACCAGAAAGTTACTCCTGCAACGGATGGCTTTTGGGTTCCGCCTTGCAGGGCTCCCTCCGTTTCCGGTTTTTGGACCTCCCAGAAATAGGCACCCGCGTGGTTCGTCTTGGCTTTCCTTTAATCCTCAATTTTGAGACATACCGACAAGCCGAGAGAGCCTCCTTCCCAGCCAGAGGTCCTTTTCAAATGGGACTTAGCCCTGGGCAGGGCGCTCAAAGTGAACAAGGTGCCTAAAGGTAACAGAAATCCTGCACCAGTTGGAATGGATGAAACCCCCGTGACCTGTTTTGCGCCAAACCTGTAAGACGGCTCGGGATGTCCGAACGTCAGATGAATACACCCCAGACAAGAAAGCTGAGTCTGATTCATATGGGCAAGTAGGGACCAACAAGGATCAAAGGATGTCTCTGGTAACTTTGCCATTTGCCCTACAAGCGATGTTTGTGATCTCACAATGTGTGGAAGCCTTTTTGCCATCCCATTCCCCAAACACAGCAAGCATAAACTCCCTTTGTAGACATCCTTGGCGAGAAAGAGAATTGTCAACCAAAATCGAAGGAATCCCCATATGTTTCAGGAGCATCCAGGAGGCAATTGAGAGCACTGGCTTGAAAGTGTCTGACTGCAAGAGCCGTTTTGCCTCTTGGGACTAGCCTGGATCGGTCATGTCCGTCAGCAACTGGGATGATGCCTTGCCGCCAGCATGCACAGCTCTCATGTTCAAGCTGGGCCGCAAAATGACGCAGCAAGAGTTCCTGGAGCGGTTCAATGCGTTGTGTGGGTATGACCTCTCCAAGTATTGCCCATACAACTTCGTTCACCTTGCTTGGTCGACACTGGCAATCGTGAACTTCCTGAACGAGGAGGAGTGTGCAGACTGCTGGGCTCAAAGCAAGAAGCTCACGGCGGCGGGAGAGATGAAGGGTGTACGACCAGCCACCCACCACGGGCTGGCGAGAAATTTGGTGGATTACCTTTCTCGAGCCAAAGACAGCAGTCAGATCAGAATGCCCCCCCTTGTGTTTGACCGGGGACACTCGATCTCCTTGGCTCAGGCATGCCGCTGTCTTGGGCTAGGCTTGATGCACACCAAGGCAGCCAACTTCCATCAGATTCACTTAGACCTTTGTTCAATGTCTCAGACGACGGTTTGGCACTACCTTGAGCAGATGCCGGGCACGCAGATTCTGATTGAGCTGTGAGCCGACCGGCGGTCTGCAATGGCTCGGGGGCAAAGTCCCTGGCAATTCGCTTCTTTGGCAGCAGCCGTTCTGCGCAAGGGTTCAAATCTCAAGCTATATAATGGGCTATCGATGTTGCCCAGAAAGCCGCTTCAGCAAAGGCCCCTTCAGGAAAAGCTGCTTCGGCTTGCAACGTCAACAAGTAGAGCAAAGTGGAATGATCCTTTTTCCAAGCCAGTGGGCGTCTTCTGGTTGTCTTCGCTGAAGTTGGCTTCTTCCAACCAGGTCACAAACCGACAATAAGTTGCGAATTGGAGAGGCCCGGAGAGGCCGAGCAAAGCAAGCGCAGTCCGAGAAGTCATCCAAGATGTCACAAGTTGTGCAACGTGTTTACTCACAACAGCGCTTGGATGGTTGAGGAGTGTTTTTCTCCGGACAGTTTCTCACGCGGCCTCGGTTGTTTAACTCAATCCCGGTGGTTCTTTCCCTGCCCAAACACGAAAGCGTGGCCGCAAAATGGTCCTGTCTTCTGGTCAAAAATGCACAGACCAAGGCAGTTCACCAATGTTGCGGATGACGGACAGGCATCCGGGGCCCGATGTTGAACAAGACCTGCAAATGTTTGGGAGATTCAGCTGCGCATAGATTGACAATGTTGCTTACGCGCGTTGGGGCCATTGACCCAGTTGGTGCCTGTACACATTGCACCCGGAGATGCCTTTTCCACGATGAGCCACCATCAAAACTCGGGAAGATGAAGGTTAGTAAGGGACAAGCCCAACCATAAAAAGCTGCGGATATCCGCCTTCTTAGTTCTTTACATGGTTCTGGGTAGGCCTTGCTACTACCGGGCTTTGATCATGACTCCAATTGTCTTTGAGCTGGCTGCTGTCTGGACTCTCGGGAACTAGGTTCGTTTTGGGAAACCTCTATGTCTTCCATGATTGTTGCAAAGAGGGTATCGCCAATGTAGCTTGATAGTTTTTTCCGAGCCAGCAGATTTCGGCTGACAGATCTCACAGTCCAAAGGGACTCCCTTTGTGCCTGCCTGGGGCCTTGGAGAATGAAGTAGTGCAGCAACAGCAAAACTACACTCCCTTCCATAATCTTAGAACTACAACAAGTTTTTGTTTTTTTTTTTGGGGGGGGGTCCAGATGATTAGTAGAAGCCCTGCAATTGACCCAGAAAGTGCCAGGTTAATGCAAAACCGGCTTCACTCTGCTAGCGTGGAACTTGGGTAGAAACGTGGAACTTGGCAGTAACTATAGAATGACAAACAGGCAGGGCGCTTCGCAGTCGCTTCTCGAAGTAGAGCCAAATTTGTTGAGCAAACGCAGGGCTCGCAGCACCCAGCCACCTTCGGCCTCTTTTTGGGCGAGAACGTGACAATGTGGTACGCGCAAATTGCGCAATGTGTACTTCATCATGCTTCGACTCATCATGTGACAATGTTGCCTATGCGCGCTGATGTCCTTAATTCAAAGAAAGGTCCCTTGAGACTTCATTGAAATCCGCACACATCGGAATGCGCCTTGGCTCAATGCTGTTGCATGCTGAGGAACAATCCAGTCATGGGAACCAGGCAGACGCGAACAAGCAAGATACGCGGAAGAGTTTTCTGCAATCCATTGATTTCAAGACTCGATCCGATCAGCGAAAAGGGAGCCGTCTTTGTGAATATGCAGGTGCTTGGAACATGGAACATGTCGAGGACAAAGCCTCGGCGGGTTTGTTTGGCACCTTTGTGAAATGAGCTTCCACCAGGAGCCACTAGTTGCGGGAGCTCCCGTGCTGGTTGCGCATATGTCAGAGACTTTCTCCCGGAGCTCAAGGACTCAACCTTGTTGGGAAGACAATTTTAGTCTTAGTGGAAAACCAAAAAAAGGCCTTTTCTCCACAGGGAGAGAAGTCTCAGCTGAGGTTGACAGATTTCCCGCTGGTGGTTTGACGATCCTCACCCGTGCTTGTAGTTAATTGAAGCCCGAGTCGACAAGCCTTGTGGACGAAAAAACGGCGCGTTCTCAACAATTGGGCAGTGGTTTGGGCTTGTAAGAAGGATTCAGGGATTCTCAATCAAAAGAGGTTCCTCAAACACTTGCGAGCATTTCGCAAGCCTCCAGGACGTGAACTTCTGTGAACACACGGGGAATTGGAGGGGTTCAAGGGGTTGAAACCGCTGGTCAATTGCAACTGTTGATTTGGGGACATCCAGTGACTTTTGTTCCAATTTTAGTTAGGTCCGCGGGGGGGGGGGTTCCAGTGACCCTCCTGTTTTCAGCCGCAGGAGGGTAAGGGGCCCTTGATTCAGACGCTAAGTTGCCCCTGGAGGTGCGCTTTGGGGTCTTTGGGCCAAATCGCCAGCTGCTGCCGCTCGGCCGGGGCGTTTTTCTTGTTTTTTTTCTTTTTTAGTAGACATATATATATATATATATGTTTTACTATCTGTATTTTGTTTGTTTCAGTGTTTCCAGACGGCAAGGGAATCCGCTAGGGGCTTTTCGAAATTCGCCGGCAGGTTGGAACGGAGCTGGGCATCCAAATTCCCCTTAGAGGGAGCTCAGGAGCACCGAAAAGGACGGCACAGTGTGGAGGTAAAAAGTCACCCAAATGGGTGTGAGTCTAGATGCCCGTTTTTGGGTAGCCGCCCCCTTTTGTTTGGTGGATCTCGGGGGTGGGGGGTGCCAAGGTTTTGACCTACAGCCAAATATAGCTGCAGCAAACCTGCCGCCTTGTGCAGAGGCATTTTCTCTGGTAAAATGATGAAATGGGCTGACCTGTAAACAGGGCTCCTTAAAAGAAATTCATTTTGCAACCATGTGAAACATGTTGCTTTTTCAACACCAAAATGACGGGAAACCACCATTAATGGACAAGGCAATGTTCAGGTGAATCATGCATCCGGATCCCTGTGTAAACCACCCCTAAACGGGGTCGAACCAAAAAAACATATTCATGGAAGGACAGGGCTCGGGATTTGCGAAATGGAGGGGCTGCCCACATTTCGCATGGATCTTCCTCCAGGACCCAACCGGAGGGTTTGGTTTAGCGGCTCCCTTCGATTCCATTTGTTTGATGTTGTATTTTCTCCTGTGGGTTCCAAGGGGATCGATTTCACTACTGTTTTTTTCCCCCCAGGGGACAGTATTAATTCATCAACTGGACCCACAAAGAATTGGTATCCTCTTTGAAGGCACGCTCTCTTCTTCTTTTTTTGGTGGTGTTTGCGTTAGGCTGGTGTCCGTGGATGGCTTTGCCACGCTCTTCAGCGACTCGAAGCGGGTGGAGATGGCGGAGGCGGGGAAGTGGTGCCGCAGCGTGAGCTTCTTCTCCAAAGAGGACGTCCAGACGGCGCCGTCGAGCTGCGGGTGGCTTCCGTAGGGTGGATTTGTTTTACGTTCATGGACTTGCGTCACATTTTGGGAAGACCATTTTAGTGGCAAACAAAAAAATCAGCTTTGATTGGCTTTTTCTGGCCAGTCAACTCAGGAAGTGAGTGGGCTAGTTTGGTTAGAAATAGATGGGATTGGTGGCTTGGGGATTTGAACCACCCACGAGGACCACTCTCTCACCGCACCGATCCAAACCACCTAGCAAGGAGGGAAGCTGTGGAAGACCTCAGTTGAGTGGCACCCTTTTTCCCTTTTTTTTTTTTGGTGGCTGCCCCACTCAAAATGGTAAGCCCCAAAAAGGGTTCCCCTGTTTTTCTCCAGGGTCACAACTCAGAGACCTCGGGGCTTTTCATTTCGGGGTGTGCCGTTCCCGCGCCTCAAAGGCTTTGAACGGCTTGGGCCGGCGTGGGATCCCGAAGCTCTCCACCCGCGGCTCTGCTCCCCCCCCAATTCATGGTTGTTGTCGGGAAACATTTTAATGGAATTGGGGGCCCCCCACCCCTCTCCCCCTCAAGGCAGGGGGGAATTGGACGCCACCCCTAGAATTTCATGGTTGTTGTTGGGAAAGATTTGAAACATTTTCGCTTATGGTTTAGTGGTGGGAATCCAACCACTGAACTGCTAACATTTAAATTTTTGCTCCCCTAACCCAACGTCAACCAAGAATTGATGGTTTGGAGGTTTTGCGTTTACTCTGGGTTCAAATCCAAAAGCCAAACGCACTTAGGTGTAGCAACTTAGGTGGGTCATCACCATGGTCGGCCCTGACCCCAGTTGCCCCAGTTATAACCATGGTGATAACATACTTGCCAAGCCGATTGAGCATCTAGATCCCCAGTAGTGCCCTCTTACCTTTTTTTTTTTTTTTTTTTTTTTTTTTTTTTTTTTTTTTTTTCGGGGGAGGGTTCCCCTACTAAAATAGGCGTCCTGAAAAACACACGGGTACCAACTTATTCTAACCTCTCAAATCTGGAGGACCTAGGCATGCAAGCAGGGCTTCACCGAGCTTTTCGGATCTCTCTACTGTGGAGGGACAAAATCCTGCACCACCTAAAGCCAACACACACTGGTGTCAGCCATGATTGCTTAGGTGCCTAACCGGATTTCGCAACCATCAGTAGGACTCGGCGCTGGCGGCGCTGCGGGACGGCACGGCCCGGATCTTCTGCCTGCGGAGCGGCAGCTACCTCCGGGTCTTCCGGGAGAGCGGCTGGGTCAGCGACGCCTACGTGGCGCCGGACGACTCCAAGGCGACCGGCCGAGAGCAAATCGACCAGATCCGATTTGTTTGGGGGGCCTTCCACCCCTTCCCCCCCCCCCCCCCCCAATTTTTCGCAGTTGGAGGATGCGAGCTGCGAGCCATGATTTGGTTGTTCGCGGCGTGTTGGGGGTCTTTATTGTTCTTTCCCGTTTTGGCCCACAGGTAAAAAACATGGTGAGAGAAGCCCTAAGGTGATTCGCCCTTAAAAGAAAGCAGCCCGTCAAAGGTTCCCCTGTAAGGAAGACACACCCATGTCGTTGGGGAGTTACTAGCAGATTTCAATCCCAAAGCCAAGAGGAAACCGAGCCTTGCCATCGAAAACCACCTGACAACCCCCGCTTTCGGAGTTTGGGCCTTTGCCCATCTGCTCGCTGGAGTTTCTTGAGGGCTGGCATGGGCTGGCCATGTTGGTGGCAATGGAACTTGCTTGGGCCTATCCGCTGTGAGTTCTTTTGAACATCCAGTCTTGCTTTTGAGGCCCTTTGAAATCAGCAAAATAAAATACAAGGTTGGCAGTTCTGGCCTTTGCATGGATTCCTTCCTCGCTCAAATTTGTCCATGTCTTCATTATTCCTTCGTCATTCCATTGAACTAATGTTCACCCTGGATGACTAAACCCCTGGTTGATTAATAGGGAGGGTGTCCCCTTTTAGTGCGGATTCATCACTTTTGGAGGGAACACCCACCTTAATGGGACGGGTTTATTAATCCTGGGTCAACACTCAACAATTGTCATGGCCAGTTTGCTTCAGTTTGCTTCGTCCGCGCTTTGCTTTGGAAGCCGGCGGAGTGGCGGGTCCCGGGATGAGAAGCCCACATGTCAGCATCACAAAACTCGCCACATCCAGGACGTTTTAGTGAGGGCCTCTTCCACCTTTGCCCAAACCGCAAGGTAGAAACGCAACTCCAATCACAAGCGAGTTCCTTTCTTCCAAGTTATGAGCCGTGCATTGGAATTTTGAAACTTAGCCGGGAGTTCACTGCAGCAAAATCATGGAACAACCGGAGACAAAACAACAACACAATACAAACAACTCTGGCAGACAAGAGCTCAGGCAAGCCACCTCCTTTCATTTCCCCCCTCAAGATTTGTCTGTTTCGTTTTTTTGGTGCTTCGAGGAAACCAAAACAAAGCAAGCACAATTTGGCAGACAAAAGCTCAGGCAGGCACCTCCTTTCATTTTCCCCTCAGGTTTTTGTCCGGTTTCCTCGAGGTTTTGGCATTCTCGCACGTGCGCTCCGATTTCTGAGTCGAAAAGTAAGCCCGGACTTCCCCTCGGTCCTTTCTGCTCCGAGATCGAGGGAACTCGGGAAGCACCGAAGGGATAATAGGGGGGAATACCAGTGGAATACAAAGGGAGATGCTGGGCGAGTACTGGGAGACTACTAGGGGTATACCAATAAAATACTAAGGAATACCAAGGCAGTACTAGAGAACACAAATACCTAGGGGTAAGAGAATACTACAGGAATATGGGAATATGAAGGGAATACTCAGGAGAATGCTAGGCAAGTACTAGGAGTGAATACTAGGAAAATAGCAGGGGAAGTGATGAGGGAAATGCCTGGGGATTTTTTTGGGGAATTCTGGGGGAGATCTGAGGAACACTAGGGGCAAAAGAAGAATATTAAAGGAACAGGGGAATGCTAAGGGAATATTAGAGGAATAATAGAGGAATTCACGCGGAATAGCAAGGGACTACTAACGGAACTCTACCAGGAAGAACGCTAAAGGAATACTAGGAAAGCACCGAGAATGGGGGAATACCAAGGGGGAATACAAAAGGAACACTGAGGGAATACTGAGAGAATAGCAGGGGAATACGAAGAACATTCTGCATTGCGATTTGAGGGATCTGCCACCTGGGTCGCTTGTCCGATTTTTTTTTTTCGAAGGAAGACTGCACCTGGGTCACTTGCGCCCAAGTGACCCAAGAAACCTAAGTGACTCAAGTTGTCAAGTGAGGGAAGTGGCCCAAGTGGCCCAAGTGACCCAAGTCACCCAGGCGACCCGAGTGAACTCAAGCAAAAGACCTGGTTTCCGACTGCAGTTAGTCCCCTGTTTGCAGATTCCAATTGGCTGCTCTGTCTTTCGGATCAACCACGGTGATCCTGCCCCTGCCACTGTGATTTCTGTGGGGATGCCTGGGGCGCGAATGCCGTGAGGCCCCACCCCTTTTAAACCCCACCTCTTTGTGGACAGGTTTTTCTTGGTTGCCTTGTTCAGCTAGCGCCTGTACTTGCGGATTCCCATTGGCTGCTTTGCCTTTCTGATCACCAAAAGGAGTGGGGCAGTTATATAGGCCCCCAACTTCTTGTTCTTTGCGGGAGTTGTGCTGCTTTCAGAAGTGCGTTCTCCATGTGGGGAAAAAGTGATTCACCAGTTGAATGGGCTCTCACACGCCAACCCCCCCACGAGCCGAGCATCTGATGCTGGGATGAATGGAGCGATGCCCAATAAAGGAGGAATCTGATTGCGCAAGAAAAGGTTAAATCAATGCTCGCATCAATAGGTCCCATGGAATCTGGCGTGCTATAGCTAGGACCAATGTTGTTTTAAAGATGGGCCTTGCACCTACGCATGAACCTCCTTTTGGCGACGGGGGGGGGGGTGGCTTGTTCCCTTCTGACAACATAAGAGCCTGGAAAACCAAGTAGTCAGAAAAAACGAGCTACAAGGGAAAGTAGCCGCTTTTCGCAGTTGATGTTACAGGCTTAGGCCGGTTTAGGCTTGCACCCGCTGCCATTTTGCCGTCAATCTGGCCAGCTCGAGCTGTGAAACTGCCACGGCCCCAGCTGGGTGGTAGGTTAAGGCTCCGTCAAGAAAATCAGACTGAAGTTGCGTTACAGGGGGCATTACTTCTGGTTTTTTATGGCTGCCTACCATCCCGACTCAAGGGCAATCAGATAACGTTCTATCGTCTTCTGATGTATGGTCCTCGAGGCAACTGTTCTTGAAAACGTTGACACCCTCCCAACAAAGTCTTCATCCAACTGTGTTGCAAATGCAAGTGGGCTGATTGAGTCGTATTGGGAAGCTTTTTGCTTCATGAGACTGTACCGTAGCTCGGCGAGGGCGTGGAACTTAGGCTGCAATTTCCACCGCGTCAGGGACAAACCTTCATAGGCATACTCTGCCAAGCCAAGGAAGCCCTGCAAAACAATGCTCATGTTTAGGATGATGTGATCTCGCTCATCATGTCCTAGCCAAAGGCCGGCATGGTACATGCATCGCATGAAGGAGTTGGAAGCTTTGACCACTTGGAAAATGTCCATCATGTAGGTCACATGTTCGTGGTCTCCACAGGTTAGGATCAAGCTCTCGTACTTCCATTGCAAGTACGCCAGAAGAGACACCGTGTCCTGGCCCTTGAACCATGACCTTCGAAACGACGAGATTAATTTCAAAAAGAACAGAAGCTTGAAACAAGTAAGCAAACCAAGCAGAATAAACAGCGACACGTTGAGGGTTGCACGTTTGCAAAAAAGAAGGCGCGTACCCCAAACAGAAACCTGCCGAGCACAGTCAACAGTCAAAATTGATCCAAAGTCACCCTGTCGGGTAACTCCAACTACTCGTCCAGCCGAGCGAAATGCGGGTGAGGGCCACCATGTGCAGCTGAAGGCCCTGTCGAGCGCAGTAAGCAGCGGCTTCCGCGTAGATAGCCTGCAAAGCTTCTTCGATGGAGCCATCGACCAGTCCAAAGTCGATCATGGTGACCTTAATCAACACGTTTCCGTGCTCCACCGTGCTGTGAATCTTTGGGCGTGTAAAAAAAACAAGGTCGAATACACAGATTGCTAGGAAAGGAGTCTAAGCTTCTACTGCGTTGGCGGCGATGTCACCCAAAATTCCTTTGTGACAAGTATGGAAAACGTCGAACTTGTACCACTGAGCTAGGCAATCCTGGGCCTGCGGTATCAATTGCGTGAAAGGGCTGGGTGTGGACCATGGCAGAGTTGACGCATCATGCATGCGCTCCATGTTGCCATAAGTGTAATCGTGCCACTCAAATCCAGGCAAGCCCCCCATGCACAAATGGCAAATACCATCCTTTGCCTTACCGCCCCTTGTTTGCCGTCCATGGTGCCTAGACAGGTTTCCAAACTTCGTGAGGGCAGGCCAATCCCCCTTCATGCCCAGGACGACCACATAAAGTCTCCGCGTTTGTCCATTCTGTGTGACACAGGCACCATGTTCAAAGAGTTCCTTCAACTCGTTGGCCCAATGAGTAGCAAGGCGCTTGAGTATTTTCGGATTCTTGTTGTACAGCTTTGTCGCCATGCATGAGTAGAGAAACCTGGTAGTCAAAGAGTTCCCGATGTAATTCAACCCTGGGCCGCCTTTGCTGGTGCCTCTCCCTAATAAGGGTTGGAGTTGGCAAACCATAAACCCCCGCTTCTTCTGCGATGTTCCTTCATCACAGTGAATCAGAAACGGCAGGCAGTCAGCTAACTGTGAGCCATGTGCTTCGTAAACCGGGTGTCCAGGTTGGAGCCTTTCATATCTCTGCCAAAACTGTTGATATGTGGGGCCATCATGCCCGCAAAAGACCAAGTCAAGCTTCTGGTTCTCGCTGAGGCAAGTCAGTAGGTCTTTGAAAGACAGCGTAGGGTGCTCCCGCCCTTCAAGTCTCACCGTAGTAATGGGCACGTTGGCCATCAAACCTGCTTGCAACAACACAGCCGGCAAACGCGCCGTGTGCCCAGTTTGTACAAGGCGGTCAAGGCTGCGCAGGAAGGTTTGCGATGAAAGGCCCGGGGCTCCACCAGTTTCCTCCCAGATTGCAGCCCCAACTTCACAGGCAATGGCTTCTGGAACCTTGCATCGTAAAGGGATGCCGCAAGCCCAGTATAGTCAACAAAAAGATACACTGAACAATCTTGGCTTGAGTGTCAAAGTTTGGCTTAACACACAAAAGGAAGATGTTGCTTGCGTTGCGGTCGAAGGCTCACCCCGAGCAAGGATCTTGCCCAGAATCTTTCCAATGGGGCCCACGTCATACTTCTGGTTGGTCTTCCACTGGTGGCCACCTGCGTTGGGGAAAACAGTCAACTTGCTGGGCCCGCTCGCTGAGGCTTCCATGCAAGCTCAAGGAGTTCTTTTGCCGGGAGGCCCTTAATTTTGGGGCATGGAGGCAAACTGATGGAAGCAAAGACGCATTTGTCCTCTCAGCGGCGAAACTGTTTTGAGAGGGCGTAGGCAACGCCGTGTGTCCCCGTGTGATTGTTGCAGCTTGAAGAGCAAACTGCATGTCGTAGGCGCATTGCAGTTTGATTTGAATGGACACCTTGCGTTTTACTGGTTTTCCTAAAACTAAAAGCTACAGAACTGTAAGCAAAGTAACAAATTGCAGCTGTCGCTAGCAATGCGCCCGTACACCCCAAGAAACTTCCACCCAGCACCAGCCACCTGCAGCAAAACATTGGCAACAAGTTGCGTGCGTGAGCACTCATGCATTTCTGAACCCTTTGGCAGCTGCAGAGCCTTTCGGAATCTCTCGAATTTGCATTCGCAGGGAATGCGCAATCACTTGATGTGCTTCCTTCGTGTGATGGAAGCTTTGGCCTTGGCCTTTGACTTGGCCTTTGGCCGTGCACACATTTGATCGGAATCCCCATCATTCTCGGAATCCTTGGGGCTCTTGGAGCCTTTGGAAGATTTGGAACCCTTCGAGCTTTTCGGTGAAGGTGTCCCTGCTTTCTTTGGAGCAGCCTTTTTGGAAAGCACTGTCCTGAGTCCAAACCAGACAAAAGAGTTATGTTCATGTGCGCGAAGCACACACGGCAAGGGTTGGGCCCGCACTTCCTGAGCTTGTTCTCCTCCATGACCGCCTTGCTACACCTGGGGCAGGGAACTCAAGTTTTGGTTGTGGTTTTTGTGAGGGTTATAGGGGCCAGACACCAGCTCAATCGACCGCATGTTGGCCCGCAGCTCGCACTGCTGCCTCGTGGGTTGAACATAAAGATGTTTGAGAGCCCGCAGGCAAGTAAAATGTTCTGGCTGGTTGCAACTTAGCGTCTTTTCATCCAAAGACTTGTCAACCAAGAATGTGGCCCGCAAGGTTGCCACCGAGTCATGTAGAGAGGTGAGGTCATTGTAGAGGTTTTCCACAGTCTTCAATCCCCTTAGATTGCAAAGTCAGATCCAACCATGCTTCCATTTGGGTGCAAAAGAAGCTCAAAAAGAGATTGGGCACGGCTCGCAACAACATGTGACCGACTGAGGCTCTCTTTCGCTGACTCCGACTCTTCCTGCTTCAAGGCCTGGACCAATGTGTGCATCTTTCCCTGCATTTTCAAAATCTGGGTCAACGTCTCCTTGGAGATCTCCAGATCCTTCCAATGTTTTCAAGAAAGAAAAACACCCCCTGTTGGACAGAAATGGGTCTGCCGCGAAAGTATGGGTTTTTGGGAGTACAAGACGCCCAAAACCATTTCCTGAAATTATATTTTTCAAAACGGGAATGTGTGCCCCCTCCCAAAACGCAGTTGGAGCGTGGGTCCAAAATGTTTTGCTACTAAAACACATTTGGGATTCCCTGACCGTTCGCGCTGCTTGGCGCCTGTGAGACGATTTCCCCTCTTCATGTTGTTTGGTTTTGCTTGGGCATATTTCTATTTCGGAGGCGAGTAAAGGCATTTCCCTATATCCAATGTAGCTTTTTTGGAACACACCCATTGAAGTCCACCCTCCCCCATTTGGGGCTGACACCTCCCTTGAATAGCGCGTTCCTCCAGGGCTTCCTCCTCCTTGGCCTGCTTCGCTTTCGACTCCCTCTTGGCGGACGATGAATCAGCCTTGCGCTTAGTTGATTTGGGTTTGGCCGGGCTTGGCAACGATTTCTCCTCGTCATCACTCATGGCCATGGGCCCTTCAAACAGCTCACCATCGGGGCCAGGGCCCAGTTGGCCATCACCAGCATCAATTTGCTCTGTCTCTGTTTGGCGGGCTGAGTGAACCCTCTCACGCTCCCCATCGGTGCCGGTGTGGACCCAAAACTCCTTGACGTCGCTTTGGTAGCGGTCACGCCTGCCAAGCAGCTTCAGATTTCCTAGTTGCAGGGGTGACTTTTCCGGGCCTGACCAGCTGGTTTTTCCGAGCCATGCAATAAGCAATTGCCGCTTTGATCCTGCACCTTAGCTTGGGAATCAGGTATACTGTAGCGTGGATTGAAGGGCCCATGGCCTCACACACAAACATACACACACACACCAATCATGCTACCGTGGAACGCGCTCCAAGACAATTCAGAACGCATGCGTTCTTCAGAATACCAGCCGCCCTTCTCGGTCAACTTGTGTGTCTTCTCCATGGTGATCATTCGTTCCGCGTAACGCTTGAACCGTTCCTAAGTCAAAGTCCCCCAAAAAAAGAAAAGCACGGTTGCGTAGTACAAATTTACTGCACATGTCAAGTTGCAAGCGAGTGTCATGATCCTCCCCCACCTTTTGAAAGACTTGCAACAAGGCCTTCCTTTCCTTGTCACCCTGACGAAATTTCCGGGCGATTGCCTCCGACACAGCGAGTCGGCCTGACTTCTTAGCGGTGCAAAGGCGGCGCAACCTTGCTTCCTGAGCCGCAGCACCCCGCCGTTGCTGTTCAGCCTCTGCTTGAGCTGCTTCCAGGCTGTCCTGTTTCAATCACTGTTTCGGTCCACGGTCACATCGTCTTGCATGTGTGCGTGTCACAAATTTAGCCATGTGCCAACCTGGACATCGGTTTCCTCTTCAAATGAAGGCGGCTCCGTGCTAGTGGCAGCTTCTGGGGACGAACTTGGAGTTGTTGTGGGTGCGTCAGCCATTTCAATCGCCAGTTTCTCCCCAAGCTTCACCAACTCTGCTGGCATCATAATAACAGTATCATCTTGGGGGGGTTCTGGCCCTTCTTCTTCGCAGTAGCTATAAGGGTCAAAGAGGCAGGCTTCAAGGCACGGGGAGGTCGGTTCCGGCTCATCATCAGACATGTCCAGCTTGTTGGTCTGGGCATTGGCAACCTGTAACTCACACGGTTCAACCGCTTACCAGTATGTCCATGCCTTCGCCCGTGCGCCTGCTCCTGCTCAGGCTGGGCGCCATTGGCATCGATCGTGCTTGCCAAGGACTGAGCAAGGGATTCATCCTGGGATGGGTGACCACTTCTTTCAAAGGATCGTAAGATATTTGTTGAAGTTTGGGCCAAGGTCACCAAACTTAAAAAACCTTTAGTTGAGTTGTGACGAGGGGCATCAAGAGCCGTGTAAGGGGCAGAAATCGCTTGGGAATCCTCCCAAATCTCCACCGCCCCAACCTGACTTTCGACCACCTCCACAGGATGTGCTGTTGACCCTGTGTCTGGCTCTTCCTGCGTGTTCTGCTCGTCATGGCATTGTTGTTGCAATTTCACTGCCAAATCGCGAAGGTTCTTGAGCTGAGCCTGTGCTTCCTTGGTTGCAAATAGGAGTCAAACCTCCTCGAAATGAAGAATATGCAAACCTGTGGCACCCTTCTTCTCCAGGTTTTGATTTTGCACCCGCTAAACGCGCTGACAATATAGCAACTGTCTGTTGGTCGGATGTGCTTGATGGCTTCTTCAGTGTAAAGCCCAAACATTCGGGTTGAGAAACGGTTCAAACACATGCTTTTTAGCACAGACACTGTCAACTTGTTCAACTCATCGACTTCCTCCTTCACACAGGTCTTCTGGTTTGCCAGAAACTCTGCGCCAGCCTCCAAGGTGGAAGCGCTCCACGCCCGCGAGGGGAGGCTGGAAACCATGGAGCTGGGCTGGGAGTCTTGCCGGCCGGTTGTCGAGCACTACTGCAGCTAAAAACGGAACCCATATTAGCTTTGCTGGTTTTGAGGGGTCCAATCTTTTCGGGCATTTTTCGGCATAATCAAGCTACAGCGAAAAGCTGTGAATACGTGTGTGAGTCCCCGAGAAATATCCCCGAAAAACTGCAAACAAATGCTCAATTCAAATAATATGCCGATTTA